TAGGGTGACGGATGGAGGGGCTTTAGCCTTACTCTCAGGAGCTCTGGTGACATAGTGCTTAAGGCACTTGACTGCTAACCAGAAGGCTGGTGGTTCAAACCTACCAGCCATTCTTCGGAAGGAAGATGGGGCAATCTACTTCCGTAATGACACTGCCTCAGCAACCCAAGGAAGGGTCGCTAAGAGTTGGGTCCGACTCGAGGGCACATAACAACAACCACCACCTGACTCTCAGGCACACGGCCGGGGGGCAGGGGCTGGGGTGGGAGTAGGTTCAGGACCTGTGGGAAGGGGTGGGCGGGGCTTAGTTCTGCGTGGAGGGGGGAGGGGGCGCAGAATGGGGTGGGGATGAGCACCCTGCGGAAGGAACGAGACCTGGGGAAGGCGTTCCTTATCCTGGACCTTGAAGCCTGCACAACCGGAAGGGGGAAAGGGCCAACTTAGACCCCTAGGGGTCGGAGGGACCCGAGGCCACGCTGGGGGCGTGGGTACGCAAGGGTCTTCCGGTTACAGGTGGCGGGAGGAGGGGTTGTATTTGGAGAAGGAGGTCTCAGGACTCAGGTTAGCGCCCGGCTCTTCCTGACCTCGGCGCCCTCGTTCCCAGTGTTCGGGGGCCACAGGCCCAGGCGGCGCGCTGAGCTCGGGGCCAGAGCCGGGGGTTCGGGCCTTGCGGGTGGTGCGGCGGAAGCGCGCCTGGTGACACCAAGCCCACCTCTCTCGACGCTGCCTCCCCGCCCCCAACCCCCAGGTCGGAACCCGGGGAAGGACCGTTCCCTCCCCACTCCCGTCCGCCCGGCCCTGCTGCCATTGGGGGATCGGGGACCGGGACCCAGACGCAGGGCTGGCACCGGGCGCAGTTGTCTGGGTGCTCGACCCGCCTCCCTGGCCCCTCTGGGCCCTGTGCGGCGCCCCTCCGGATCCTGCCGCCCAGGCCTTACCCGCCACGGGCTCGGTGAGAACAGCCGGCCGGTAAGGTAGCTCCAGGGGCCGCGGCCGACGGAGAGGCGACTGCGAGCCCGGAGCCGCTGCGCCCGGATCTTGCGCAAGGCCTCGCCCTAAGATTGGGGGCGGGCAGACGCGGAGGCTCATCCCCGGGGAAACCGACGAGCAGGGAGGAGATGCAGGCGGGCTCGGAGGAGGGCACAGCCCTCTCACCTCCTGGCACCTACCCTGGATGCGTCGCGTCCTCCTAGCCGCCGCCCCCACTCCCTCCTCCCCACTTCGATCCCATCTCCCACCTCCACGCACCTCTGCCCAGAGGCTGGCCCCATCCACCCCACTCCCCGGCACACCCACCGGTGATTCCACTCGTCGCCCGATCCCTCCTTCCTCCCTTCCCCCTGTCAGTACCTCCCTCTCACCCACCCACCCATCTCCCGCGCCTCTAATGGAACCCCGGCCCCACCCATCTCCCCCGGGCTGGCCCCATCCTCCACCCCGCTTCTGGCACACCCAACCCCGCCCCTGCTCTCTTCCCACCGTGACTCCACCCTTCGCCCCCATTCCTCCTCCCTCCTTTCCCCCCCCTCAGTACCCAGCTCTCACTCCCCCCGGCCCCCCCCCGCCCACGCCTCTAATGGAACCTCGGCCCCATATCTACCCATCTTTCTCCTCCTTCCTCCCTCTTCCCACACCCTTGCCCAGGTCATTGCTGGCCATCCCATTCGCAGGGACCACCTAGAGCTCTTAGGTGGCCCATGTTGTTGTTGTTGTTTGCCATCCAGTCGGCCCGACTCATAGCGACCCCTCCTTGGGTTTCCGAGGCAGTATCACTACGAAAGTAGGAATGCCCAACCTTCCTTCCGAGGAGTGGCTGGTGGGTTTGAACCGCCAGCCTTCTGGTTAGCAGTCAAGTGCCTTAGCCACTATGCTGCCAGAGCTCGCTAGGCTCCTGGAAATACGTGGTGGTGAGGGCAGCACACATTGTGAATGTAATTAGTGTCAGTGAATTGTATGCTCAAGTGGTTACAGTGGATTTTTGTTACATGTATTTTAACCAAAAAATGTACATCATGGTCGCGGAAGGTATGGGATTGTTTTACTTTGGGAAACATGTCAATGCCACCTCACTCATGATTTTCTCAAAAGGTAAAAACAGAACGTTTGATTTCAGTTAACACTCATTTGGCTAAAAATGCTAAGAAAATGAGACTGAAAATGAACTTTGTAACTTGCTATTAGTGCCTAAGGCATCTGACTACTAATCAGAAGGCTGGCAGTTCAAACCCACCAGCCACTCCTCAGAAGGAAGGCTGGGCAATCTACTTCCCTAGTAATAACGCCTTGGAAACCCAAGGAGGGGTTGCTATGAGTCAGAACTGACTGGACAGTAGTAGGTTTATTTTTCATAAAACCTTAGCAGACATTGTACTTAATGGAGAACCTTTAACGTATTTCTTTAAAAATTTGAACAAGAAAGAATGGCCTGCCTGCTTTGACTCCTTCTGTTTAGCATAGTACTGGCAGGAGTGCTAACAGGAACAACAGAAAGATGTGCTGTAAAAGTGACAAGTCCTGCAGACTGGTGGCCCTGACATGCACTCTCAGCCACAGGGGCTGAGCACCTGAATTCAGTTTCTCATCCAGCCCCTTGCAGCCAGGGGTGGTGGTGGTGGCACATAACAGAGCCAATAGCCTAGGACAGAGTATGCTCTGGGGGTCTGGGGAGACTTCACTCCCAAGAGAGGAACTATGCAGAGCTATAGGCCCATTCATTTCCTGTTTTTCTTGGTTGGAGTGTGGACTTGGTGTGGGAATGGCCACTGCCATCTGAAGACCACATGACAGTGAGGCACTAGACTGGAGTGGTGTGGCGGGGCTACTCTGTCCTTTGTCTCCACACTGCTGACTTCTTGACCCTTTGTCCCTGCTTCTTTAAGCTGTTATCTAGATGTTCTGTGACAAGGTGGAGAATTTTGGTAGCGAATGGGAACAGTAGAAAGAACCAAATGGAAATTCTTGAACAAAAAACGCAATTAAAAACACAGATGACACATGACTAGAGAGGCAATGAATCAGAAGATCAGAAGACAATTTCCAGACAAAACACAGAGGAACAAAAAAGGCAACACAGAGAGAACTGCATGCTAGGAGCCACGGGGGTTACTGTAAAAGGGCCGCTATCTGAGATGTTAGACCCGAAGGAAGAGGAGAGAGAATGACACAGACGCCATCATTAAAGAGATAGTTCCCCACACTGATGAAGGAATCACGTTACAGACTCTGGAAGCTTCACAAACTCAAAGCACAGCCAACACACAGGAAAGCATCCCTAGCTGAGGGTGTGGGGACAGACACAACACGGACATCTTCAATGCTTCCAGAAGTGGGAGAAACTCACAGTGCCCACAAAAGAGTAAAGACCCTCAGGTGACTGCTTGACAGAAACAGGCAGCAGCCGGCAAAGCAGAAACGTGCTCAGCAGAGTCCCAGCGGCAGCATCACAGTGCTGGCCACGGGAGGGCGTGAGGG